CTTGAGTTAATAGAAAAGACATTGAGTTTGGAAGCAAAAAAAAGTTTAATATACAATTAACTTATTTGTTATATACTATATTACATATTACTTGTCTGAATTTGCTTATTAAGTAAAGTTTTTAATGATAATAATCTATACTGATCTTTTTTTACAGAAGACATATGAAGAGCTAAAGAATGCTATAATATGCTTTAAAAAAAATTTATTAAAACTATGAATTGTCAATTGATGATATGGTTATATATAGTAAAGGTTACTTTAAAAATTTTTATTTATATTGTGTAACTTAGTGATCTTTAAGCCAATCAAATCGAATGTCTGCCATGCTAACAGCTCACTTGAGACATCAGTAGATCATACAAAAATAGAAATGAGTTGTGGAATAGTACAGATTACAGAAAAAGGTCAGATCCTATATCAAATAGCTTGTAGTACTAAAAAGTAGTTTCTATCAACAAAAGCAGAGTTAATAGCAATTCTAGTAGCAATACTAGTAATATCTAATATAAGGGAAGTTAAAATAAGAACTGATAGTAGTGCAGCCATATTTGCAGTCAGAAAAAGGCTTGAAGCAAACAAAGCAAGACAATGGTTTAAGATTAAAATAGCAGCCTGATTGCAACAATAGTTGAAGTAGTTAAAACAAAGCAACTAACTCTGTATTTTACAAAAATTAAAAGTCATTAAGAAGCTATTTTTAATGATTTGGCAAATCTTAAAGCCAAAGAAGGTGTAAATTTCAGAGCTCTTAATTCCTACAGCACTCATTATAAAAAAATTTAAACTAAGATACAAATAGAAGAATGAAGTTATAGAAAAACCAATATGCTCTTTTATCAAAATATTTGAGAAATTATAAATAGAGTAGAATAAACATTTTTTTATAAGGAAATATCTATTTGTAACAGCCTGTTACACACTTATTTGTAATAGTTTATTAATGTTAGGTTAGTATTAGGGTTAGTGTTAAGTGTTAGGGTTAGTGTTAGGTTAAGTTTAGAGTTAGTATCAAGATTAATACAAAATCACGAGAGGATTATTTTTCATTAGTAGTACAAAGAGATTATCTTAGTAAAATTTTGAGTTATAGGTCAAACTGTTACAAATAAGTGCGTAACAGGCTGTTATGAATAGACTTATCCTTTTCGTAATAGTCAGAATGCTATATATCAACTCTACAGTATTGGCCAATTTTCTATAAAATTTTGAAAAGCAGAATTAAACAGTGTGATTACACTTACAAATCAAATACTATATAGCTCTTCGAATTAAAGTGTATAAACAATGTTTTGCTAGTGTTTGAAAAGCTCAATTAAAAAAAACTAGAAATTTACAAAACTGATAGATGTATTATATATATAAAGAAAACAGAAAATATTAAACATTTAGTAAGTTGTGAAGTATTGTTAAAGCTAATCTGTAATATTGAAAAGCAAGAAGTAAAGTTAACCCTTAAAGAAATGGAAGAAGTACAGAACTTGGACAAAAAAAAAGAGAAGATTCTAGTCATGATGAGAAAAGAAAGTCTCACTACTAAGTTACGAAGAAGAGAAAAATAGATAAGAGGTTTAATTATGAAAGAGGACTTCATTGAAATATAGCCAATTTTTATATCCAACAAACAAGCTAAAAACTTCATAATAAGACTCTGGAAGAGATAGATAAAAAAGATATATAAGGAAATTTGTGTTGAAAAATACAAATTAGTGCAGAATTGGAAAAAAAAAATAGTATAGTATGAAAAGAAAAGCAAAGATACAGCACAAATACCAAGAGAAAACAAAAAAAGAAGAAAAGAAGAAAGAGAGCAAATATAAAGAATGATCTAATAGATAAAACCCACAAAGAAAAAAAATAAAAGAATAAAACTGAAGCAAGATAAGAGACAGTTTTAGATATAGTGAAAATGAGATTTTGAGTTGGATAAAAAATGGACAAAGAGCAGAATGATGAAAAATAAATTAGTAATTTTGACAGGCCATAAGAACTATCCAATGAAATATTGATAGACTTGTTTGCAAGGTAAATCAATATAGAGGTAACTCTTACTATAGCAAGCCATACATAGGTATTTATTAAACAACCAGATAAGCTGATACTTGTAAATTAGGTATCAGAGAAAATAGCTCTTTGAAAAATTTAATATTTCAAAGTATAATATTATTAAACCTAATAAAGTAGAGGCAAGACTGCTAAAATTTAATAAAAAAATAATATAATAATACTATGATTTAAGTATATTTATGAGTATATTATATGATAATCTTTTTATTATATAAATACATGAATATATATATTTAGTTATACTAAATTAACAACTTTAAACACACATCTAAACAGACAAAAAATTTCCAAATTACGTTTTTAATATGATTTTCATAATGTTTATGCTAATACATCAAAAAAGCAACTTTTGGGTAAAGTGCATTAAAAACATAACTTTTGTATTACTTAATGCATAAATTTTATAAAATTAAATAAAAAAATTTTCATTAATTTTTAACAAATATTTATCAAGTTATCTTTTAGTTGCGGTTTTTGTTTTGTTAGTCATCTCAACTTTCTTTGAACTTTGAATAAGAATTGAAATAAAAAAAAATTCATTATTTTTAGATAGATATTCATAGAGTTATCATTGTTCAAAGTTGTAAAACTTAGTCAAAGTCTTTTGTTTTGATAATCACCAAATTTTCCACTTTGAATGAGAATAACTCCTATTAAAACTGATGAATTTTTTTTTATTTCAATTCTATGAATACATAGAATTAAAATAAAAAATTTTTTAACGAGCTATCGAGTTATCCCTGTTCAGTTTAAAGAAAATTTAGATGACTATAAAAACAAGACCGCGGCTAAGTTTTGCAAACTTTGAACAAGGATAACACGATAAATATCTGTTTAAATAGATGAATTTTTTTTTATTTTAATTCTATGAATCAATAGAACAAAATAAAAAAGCTTTATCGATTTTTGATATATGGTTTATTGAATTATCCTCGTAAAGAAAATTTAGATGGCTATCAAACCAAAAATAACTTGATAAACATCTGCTAAAATCGATAAAAATTTTTTATTCTAATTCTATGAATTCATATAATTAAATAAAAAATTTCATCGATTTTAGATAGGTAGTTACTAAAGATATCTTCGCTCAAAACATACTTAATTTACGATATTACGTATTATATTAATCGATTTCATTCAGTTCATTGAATTTCGCATGATATTCGTCATGTGATCATAAACCACAGATTCTTCCAAACATAATCGATTCCGAATTGACAGGAATCAATAAAATCAATAAATGGTGCATAATAGATATTATTTAAGGTTATCTAAAAAAAATTCCCGACTTGAAGACTAAACATATTTTATGCATTGATTTTGTTGATTTTCTGGTTTTGTGAAATGCACCCGAGTTTAATTGTAGAAAATTGCCAAGCTCTCAAAAAGCGAATGGCTTGGCATATCGATTAAGATTTTTATATTAAGAGATGACTTTCGCGAAATTTTTCTTATATTCGAATATACTGTACTATATTTATGAAAATATTCGAATATATAAAGATTGAATGCGTGAGAGTGAAAACCAGGAAATAAAATTTAACCAATCATAAATTTTATTTCCTGATTTTCACTCTCACGCACTCATTTATGAATATTCAAAATATTCATAAATATTTATAATAATACATACATATATGTCCGATCAATACCATTTGAGTATGTGCAATCATATTAGCTGATACTTGTAATCTACGTACTGTATTTTCTTTTTGACTAAAGTAGAAAGATTTTTATAAAAAATTTTTATACGTATTAGCTATCTTGAGCAGTGCAGCGTTACATACTCAGATCTATTTGCACATTGGTATTTATGAATATTCACAGGTTGAATCAATAAATATCAGGTACATACCAGGAGACAAGTTTCCTGATATGTACCCGCCAAATACCGCTGTATATTAGCAGCATATTGGGATACCCTGATATCTTACTCTCAGCACTCTGGGCCTAAAAGTAAGATATTGGGATATCCCAATATTTTGCTGCTATGTTACTGATATCGATCTGCTTTCCAATATGCTTGCAGGTATTTGGCGGATCTATGGCAGACTATCTGGTACATATCAGGAAACTTGTCTCCGATGTTCATTGTTCATTTACAAATACGATTCATAATATTTATGAATATTTATAAAATTTATGAATATTCAAAAATATATTCGAATATATTAATAAATTAATTATGAATATTTGAATATATATAAAGATTTATGAATACAAGAGAGGATCCTTATATGAATCATAGAACATGTAAGAAGGGCGTCCACAATATGCTGTAATTAATTTTGTACATAAATATACTTGTTAATAATAAGTTTCTTCGATGCACTATTAAATTACCGTATGTATTTTACATATTGTTACGTATTGATAAAAGAAATAAATTACAGTAATCGATTCGTAATACATTATCAAATTTAAAAGGCACGATTTTTTCTCTTTTTTATTTTTTTATTTGACTTTCAATTTTATTTTCAAATTTTTATTTTGTAATTTTGTTTTGAACGAATCTTAAAATTTTCATACGATAAAAAAAAAAAAAAAACAGAAAAAAAAAATGAAGACCTCTAATAGAAGATTTTCGATTATTTTAGTCATTTCCCTGGCAGCTATTTTTGCTTTAGTACATACAAGCGAAGCAACTTGTGCAAACCAGGCTGTCTATGATGCATGTAATACTAGAGGACAAAGCGAACTAAATGCTTGCTATGCCAAACCTAATGATTTCGCCTGTCAATGTACCGCGATGACAGGTATTTTTCAAAAAAAAAGTTTAGAAAGTGAAAAAACAAATCACTAATTAAAAATTATATCTTTAAGACATTCGCAATTGCTATCTTCAATGTCCGGATGATGCAGACAAGACTAGCACAGGAAACTCCTATCAGGTAAATTAACGTATTGTCTTCGCTGATAACGAATACATGAAAAAAAAATGCTAACGTCGAATATCTTTTAAATGATTTCAGGCAGCTGTAGATCAAGTGTGTGGTTATGCAAAGTACTTTAAAGCGAATTTTTTAATTTTTTATGTTTATTCCTGCTTTTCTTTTTTTACCAAATTTATAATTTTTCTTTATTTGTTACATGTAGACAACAGACAGCCGCAGCTCCCGCTCCGACCCAACCAGCTGCGGCAGCAGCTGGCCCAGTGAATCCAACAGCTCCAGTGACTCCAGCAAATCCTTCCGCTCCAAATGGACCATCACCTAACCAACCTACACAATCTAGTACACAATCTACTTCACAAGCTACACCATCTGGTACAAAATCTTCTGCTAATTCCAATAATGATGGGCGACAAATTTTCTTTGCGGCTATTCTATCAATAGCAGCTCTTATCATGGCAGTTTAATCCTACCGTTGCAAAGTTGCGCATTATCACGTGGTCTTATGTTTATGTGACAAAAATCTTTGCCTTGGCATTTTTTTTCAGTGTTGAAATATTTAGATAATTTAAAATATAATTTTTTTTAATTGTTTTTTTTAGATTTAATCAATGGTTCTCTTTTTCAGAGGTTTAAAATTTATTAACATTAACATTATATAATTCCATAATTAAATAATATTACCTATGTGAAGGTCCTTATAAATAAAATAAAAGCTTTTTTTTTCTCTGACTTTAAAAGAAAAAGACCATCCTGCTTGTAAAAAATCACGAAGAATATTACTCTATTCAGTCTTGACCTGATCATGCGTGGAATATTTTAACTAAAAGCTTGTACTTGCAATAATAAATCCTAATAGACCACTCAAACCCATTTCATTATTTTTTTAAACTTTTTGACAGTTGATAATTCAGTTTGTTTTCCTCTAATACAAAATTGCATCGATTATTATTTCAAAGGGACATTCCGCATCTAATTGTTCCGTAACCTGATATAAATCATAAATCTATATTCATGAAATTCATAGCTTGTCCAAGCTCCTGTAAAGAATGTTTGAAGATGTGGAAGTTTTTGAATACTTGACAAAGCTATCTGAGAGGCGATAGTGATTGATGTATATTGTGGATATTCATATCCAAGAATTCAAATATCTTAGATGGATCAGTGTATTTAATGATACGATACAATCAATTGAAGAATATTCATAGAGTAAATTCTATATTTTTGAGCGAATTTATCTTTTCTGTAACCTGATCACCTATAATCTTTAAGGCTTGATCTACATGGGTCGCAAATATCATGAGATATCAAATCGGGCATGGGATGGGCATAGATACAAAAATTTGGCCAAGAACTTTTGTAAATATGTCCAAGCACTAGTTGGCACTTAGTTCCTGGGCACCTTGTGCACTTTCCCATAATGCGCCTAGCAATTTTATACCTATGATCACTAGTGTTCGGCC